TTAGTTTGATAATCGGATTCCTAAAACTGTTTTTCTGTCCTCCCGTGTTCACGTTTCCTATTACTCTGCAACACGTGAGAAACACATAAACATATCTTGGCTATATTTATATAATCGATACGATATTCTGATATATTTCATGTTATATATATATATATTTTATGAAAGAATTTACGAAATTGAAAAAAGGACAAGATGGACTGTTTTCCTATCGTTATCTCTGAAATGCTTAGATTAGTTGCTTAACTTTCTTCTTTATCTTTTTTATCGAACTATTTTCTTCTCGTAAGACTTTTATTTTAATAAAATATTTCTGGTATTTAAAATCGATTCTTATTTAAGATCATTTTAAGTATTGTTTTGAAGAATCATAAATGGGGCATAAATTAATCAGAGAATTGTATTAATAATTAAGATATTACTCTTATGATAATCTTAAAATAAGAACGGAATATAAATACTTCCTACAGAATCATATTAAAATCGTAAGATGTTACTTAACTCTTTGAAAAGCATACATTTTTATTTTCTTATATTTAAATTTTTTGAAACTTAGTGTACAAGAGATTTTTAGGATCACTGATTACAAGTACGTAATCAGATTTAAAACATTTTCAAAGTTTTTTGCACATTGAAAATACAAATATAGACTCATGTCGATTTCCATTACAATGTAGATTAATCTCAATTCAATTTGCTCTTTGTCTTTTTCTAGTTCTAAAAATTAGAAAAAGATGATCTAGGATGCGTAAAAGCATCAAAAATTGTTAAATTGTTAGTCAATTTAACTTGTGATATTACTACGATAGTTTAATAAAGCTTGCGTTTCAAGTCTGAAAAAATTCAGCGCGCAATTAAATATATAAAGGACACAGCGGAATAAGCATGTAAAATCTGCCTCCGCACCATCGAGCTCAAATTGGTATCATTAGTTGGTACTTTTGAGATGTAAAACTTCCCCATATTAGCCTTGAAATTGCATTTTTTTGAGAGTTATGGAGGGGGACAGTGAAATCAAGAAAGGATTTTTTTTTCGAAAACGACTGCACTAATTTTAATGAAAAAAATATATGTTGTAAACATTGTTCAGATAAGTTGAAGAAAATTTTTTGAAATTTCTACGATGTAAATAAATCATTAAAAAATTTTTTTAATTTTTTAGGAATTTTTTTGTTGATATTTTTGAGTGACCACTTTTATATTTCATGAAAATAATTTGTAGACTCCTCTACTTTAACATATATTTTTTTTAAATCGAACGGAGTGGTGAAACATGGTTTAAAAAATCAATTATTCGCTCAACACCATGCCGACTGGGCGGTCACGGTCCTGGCGTATCGCGGGGCATGGCGGCTGTTGTCATGGAACTATATACTAATCTTGTTGCAGTGTTGCAATATTTAATTGTCATGTAAATTGATAGAGATAAAGATTTTATTATTGCCTACACATTTATTCAATAAACATTATAATATATAATAATATATATAATATTACATATTTCCATTAAGGATGTCTGCAGTTAGCCTATAAAACTTATAGTTTCCGTAGTTTTCATCACGAGGAGGTTTACAGTACGTTTTTAAACTCCATATTTTCGGGGTGCTTTTTTAACGTGAGTCCCCTCGCCTCTCACATCAACAGAAGAGAATTAATTAATTCTTAATTGTCGTCACTATCACTTTCAATGACAGGAATGGAATTATCTTTCTTAAATATATCGCTGAGTATTTCTGCCGGTTTAAATATTTTCAATAAATACCTTGCGTAAGATAAATAATATATTATTGAGGCAATATGGGAGCAACAACCAATTGTTCGTCTGCCATTAGCACACTCACATGCATAATAAGTCACACCGGAAACACCGATACTATTTGGTCTCAGGAAACATCTATATGTTGTACGAGAAATATGTTGGGATGGAACGTTTAATTTAAGGACATTTTTCTCATCCTTAACATATTCTATATTTAATTTACGATTTTTATCTACCATCTCTGTCAAATACAACACTGTTTGAGAGAGTTGATACAAACCGGTAAAAAATATCTTCATATCTTTTTCTGTCATTTTCGGAAAATAAAATTTATGTCAAATTTTATTAATTGTATATTTACAATTGCTTGCCATTAATGTAATTAGCGCAATATTGTATTTGCACTAGAATTTATAATGTTTGCAACAAGTGTATGTATCTATACAGTGCGTTCTACCGATACATTAAATAATCCTTATGTTTGATTAATTAGACTTTGAACTTTAAGTACCCGTGAACACAGAACGAGCGCCGCTATCAGCGTCAGGTAAGTAAGCAGGTCGATGACCTGAAATGCAGGTTTATCGTATGATGAACGGCTCGCTCCCACAAATCCGAGTACAATTTATTATAGTGGGAAACATCAATGCGAGCATCGATCGTATCGGTGATTTCTTTTAAAAAAAAAAGAAATGTTCCTTCCCCTCTCCTTATATTAGGAATAATACGTGGAAATAGTTGAATTATATAATAGAAAATTCTCTCAGAAGTATAAGCAATATATAAATTCATATTATATATAAATAATTAATTGGAATAATTTATTAAAATATCCCACAAATATTATAAATGTTAAAAGATGTCTTACTTTGTTCAAAAAATTGCATAGCACATTTTCTATAAATTAAAAACAAAATGTGTTATAACTAAAAAGTTGTAAGATTCTAATATATAACAAGTTTAAACATTGTACGTATTTATTTTATATAGTTCAACAAAATTATCATTATATCTATATCTAGCTAAATTTTTAAATAATTCAGCAAAATCGTTCTTTCCGTGTAATTAATAACTAATTAATTTGCGAAATATTAATTGTATTAGCATGAATGTCATGTAATGTATTGTTAATAGTTTTATAACACTTTGTTAGCGACACAAATTATTAACTGTGTTTAAGAGAGTCGTACGATCTCGCCACCACGAATAGTTTACGTAATTACGGACTTCATTAAGTTTACGAATACAGATGCGCAGGATGAGTGAGTTTATAATTGAGTTGAGATTAATTTAATTTACTCGTACACCGGCCGTTGTGAATTATGTCTGTCCGAAATCTCGACGGCGACGCATCTGACCAAATGACCCCGAAGATTTGATAAGACGAAGCAACGTGTCGGTGCAAAGTCATCGATCGACACAATTCGCGAATTATGATGCAAGCGGTCGATTATGAGACCACCCGTTATTCTTCGTGCGGCACGCATTGCAAAGTGTAATTTGCGCATGCTGGTCAGTCAAAATATATTCACGTCAGCGTATCCATGAACGAAGTAATTTTCAATCGCGATAAATTGCTCGTGAGGACGCCTGTCATTTATTTACCATCAATGAATATATGTTTTATCGTGAGCCGATTCTTCACTTTCATTTCTAATTTAATATTACAAGTATCGTAATATTGTACATATTAAGGTAATATTTAGGTATACGTAATAAGTTTAATACATATCTATTTCAATTATTTTACTAATTCAATATTTCATGATATAATTAACAATATATTATAATATAATTTTAAATAATATACTGTGCAAAAAAATAGTTAAAATAATTGATACTACTTCAGATTATATTTAAATTGTTAGTTATATTAATAAAATAAGATAAATCAATGATTTACTACTAAACTTGTAATTAAAAAATTTCTTTTGTCCTTTTGTTCCAAAAATTGCATACTAATATTTTTTAAATTATAAATGTATATTTTATATAAATTAAAATTTTAAATTAAATTAAAAATACAGTATATTATAAGTTAAATGATTATTATTTACGTACTCAGAATGAGGATTTATATATAGGGAATAGTAAGATAAAGTTTTTAATATATATAATATTTCTAAGTCATTTTTCTTTTAGTTTACTTTTATAAGAATAAATAAACAAGATAAAGTATCATAACATCTTTAATTGCAACGTTATCTGTATATATAAAAAATTTTTATAAAAATATCTATATCTATTTATTATCATTGTTGTGTGCGATAATGTTTAAATTATCTATATTTTATAAAAATTTATGTGTATATCTCTATTCAATAATAGCTCAATAACAACGCACATGTTTTATTATTAATTATTCCATGCAGCTACTATTTTGCGTACGGTTTGAATAAGTTATTTAATAAATTTTAATTTTCTCTCAATGTGTGTAACGATTAAAACAGTAATGTATCAGCAATGCATTTTATTGACAAGCGATATATTTGGTCACGTTTAAATAATTTTTTACGTACCTATACGATGTTCATCATATCTATCAAATGAAACTATGCATTGCTGAGACGCAACACGATACATACATCGCACATTACAACATCTACAATCTATATATTATGCAGATTGATGCTTCCACTTAGTGGAATTTGCAGGGGGGGGGAGAGCTTTGCAGTTCCCCACCACTTACCATAAGTCTAATTCTTTAGCCAACGAGGCCCAAGTTTCTTAGGGTCCGCCTTCGTCATCCCCCAACAAAAGTGCTCAACACTTTGTAAATTTACACGATCCCACCTATTTTCCTGATTCCCCACCGCCGACGGTGTTCCTCTCTCTCTCTTTCTCTCTCTCTCTCTCTCTCTGTCGTTCGAACCCCTCCAAGGGAGGACTCGACAGTTGGGGGGCCATAGCACACGATTCTGACTATATAAAGACAAGGACAAGAAGGTATACGAAGTATTCAATCTTTTCGTTCAGATCGACGTTTCACGAGTAACGAATTCAGTTGGGGCGGTGACCGACTTTTTTCCCTCTCTTTCTCTCTTTTCTTCTCCTTCTCTTCTAAGTTGATTGGTTCCTTCCTCGGATTTTCCTTTTTTCCCTTTCCATCATCTTCCCACTTCTTAGCAGCAGATAGTTTCCTCTCCCATTCATTCTTTTGACAATATTTGATTTAGTCTACATAGTAAGAGACTTCAACTTCATTACGTTTAAAGACGTTGAGTTGAATGGATACAGTATATTCGAGCAAACGGAACTCTTTTCTATTTTTCGAGACTTCGTGCGGTTTACATAAGTGATCACAACGACACTCAACAGACACTCGACAGATATTCACGAGCGCGATATCATAAATTTTTAATCAATCAGTGGTCCGTGAACCGTACGAGATGCTGATAAAATTCGGGCATTGGTTTTGGCACGTAATTGTTGGAACCGTAGATCTTTACAGTCTTTTGGTATTCGTCAGTGTCGCATTGATAACGGTGAAATTGATAGACTATTTGAGGTACAACCGTAAATTACCTCCTGGTCCATGGGGGCTACCGTTATGTGGCTACTTACCCTTCTTCAAGGAAGCTTTACATCTGCAGTTCAATGATCTGGCCAAGAAATACGGTAGCATATTCAGCGTTAGTCTCGGCTCTGAATTAACCGTCGTAATGAGTGATTATCGCATCATACGCGATTCATTTCGACGTGAGGAATTCACCGGCAGACCACACAATGACTTCATGAACATCCTCGATGGATATGGTAAGTGTTAATTTTAATAATACTCTTTTATCTTATGTGACTTTAATTTTCGTATCATCGAGACGGGTTAAAGCACTCTGTCGATTTGTTCGTCTTTCGCGTAATTTCGAACGTTTTATTAATTTTATCGGAAGTTCTTCTCTCGTGCCGCGTATTCGGATTATTCTCAATGCCGGCTCTGATATTGAAACTTTTTTTTTTTTTTCAATACGTCTGTTACGCGAAATTAGCGATAATAAAATTAAAACGTAATATTTGAGAAAACTTCATGAGTGATTTCTTTTCCGTGATCGTTTCTGTATTTTCCGAATCGTCGTTTCCAATCGGTTGCGGATTTTCATGATTGCTTCTCGGTCAATGTTAACTTTTTTTTCGACGTATTGCAATCTCTCTCTCTCTCTCTCTCTCTCTCTCAATCCGTGAGCAAATTGATACCGTAAAAAGGAAACGATTCCGCTAAAGATGCGCCGTATATGTGAGAATCCCGCGTTTTACCATCGCTTTTATTGTTGTTGCAGGTATTATTAATTCGGAGGGTAGTCTGTGGAAGGATCAGAGAAAATTTCTTCACAATAAACTTAAAAACTTAGGCATGACTTTCCTTAATGGCAAAAATTTGGAATCAAAGATTAAGGTGAGTACTAAAATCAGATTAATAAATCTGTAATTTGTTGATTTATATTATATATACAAGTAAGATAGTGTAAAATTTTAAAATAAATATTGAAGCGTCTCTTTGCGTGACATTTTTTAAATTTGATTATATATTTTAAAATATATTATCATAAAATATATCATTTAAAATTTAACAACGTAATATAAATATAGGTATGATACTCATGATATACATTTTCTCGTAATTTACAAAATATTCTATATTTAAATAAAATATTAAAAGTATAAATAAGTTTCCGCTGTTTCAAAAAAGATAGCACCACAAATATGTTATGGTTAAAACTGTCTGCTGTAAAACGTCATATCGTAAGGTTGGACATCTGGCAACAACCTTGAAATATTAGCGATTTTGTATCAGCATCATATATCTTTTTTCGTGTGAAAATGTCGAGTTTTGAGCCGAATAAGCGTTATTTGCGGGAGCTTCTTTAATTTGAAGAAATCTGCAGCTGAATCGCATCGATTGCTTGAACAAACATATGGTCAGGCCTTAAGTGAGAGAAGTTGCCGTGAGTGATTTCAAAAGTTTAAGAACGGTGAATTTGACGTCGAAGACAAAGAACATAGTTTCGACGGTTTTTGTTTTTTTGACGTGGAATCCACCAATTACCAGAAAGATGGGAAAAAGTAGTGGCTAGCGATGGACAATACTTCGAATAAAACATTAGGTACCGTTCTTTCACAATAAATGCCCAATTTTTGATGAAAAAACGGCGGAAACTTATTTATATACCTAATATATAAAAATATTTTATATTCCCAAAATTTTTCAAAAAATTTTATACAAATTTCTGTGAAATAAACGATCATAATTTTTAATCTAGCACGAAGTCAAGGTATTTCTTGAGAGGTTGGAAATGAAACATGGAGTACCTACATCTTTAACGTCCTCTCTCGCTGTTGCGATCAGTAATGTGATCTGCTCGATTACAATGGGATTGCGTTTCTATCACGGCGACCCGAAATTCAAAAGGTTTATGGACCTCATTAACGAAGGATTCAAACTGTTCGCTAAAGTGACATTTGCAAATTATATACCGATATTGCGTTACATACCATGGAATAATGGCATTCGAAATAAAATCGAACAAAATCGATCGGAAATGGCTGACTTTTTTCAAGAAGTTATCAATGAACATAAAACAGCGTACGACAAGAATAACATTAACGATATCCTCGATGCCTATCTGTATGAAATTGAGAAAGCTGAGGAAAAAAATCAAGAAGATCAGCTTTTTGATGGAAAAAATAAGGGTGAGTAGAAGTCGATTTTTTTCAAAGAATTATGTATATTACTACAAACAATATTAATAACATTATATTTATATAATTTAACGATTTATGTATAACGCGAACACTATTTTTAATGGTTGAGCTCTTTTCTTTACGCAGTTCGTCAAATGCAACAAATTATGGGCGATCTCTTCTCCGCGGGTATGGAAACCGTGAAGAGCACCCTCGAGTGGTCGGTGATTTTCATGTTGCATCATCCGGAAGCAGCAAAAGCAGTGCAGGATGAATTGGATCAAGTCGTAGGAAGAAGAAGATTACCCACATTGAATGATGTTCCCCACCTTCCAGTCACTGAGGCGACGATTCAAGAGATTCTTCGCAGATCCAATCTTGTACCACTTGCCACTACGCACGCTACTACACGGTAAATTAATTTTTGATTTATTGCTCTTATATTGCTCTTACATCCTTCGAAATATCATCTTCGCCGTCCATTTCTTCGCGTCAAATGGCTAGCCCTTTCCCTTTCTCTCTGAGCTAAGAGCGGGTTCAGAACTCCGCGCGCGCGAGCACAGTCGTTTTGGATGATTATATTCGGCAAGCAAAAGTGAAAGTACAAAGTACGTGGCCCCGCGTTTTCGGTCGGACAGCCCCGCCTTTGGTTCGAGGCGCTTAAGGTTAATGACCTTAAAGCTGTTTCTCGTACAAAAAGCTTATTGGAACTGGAGCAGGTGAATTGGATTCGATACTTAGGTTCGATATCAAGAATACTTGTTAGCAATGATTGCTCATAAAAGTAGCAGTTACCGTTAGAAACAGCGACATGGTTTCACTTCTTCGCGAAGAACGCGGCCAGAAAGAGCATGACGTACGCATGTGCGTACGTATAAAAAGTCAAGTTGACTTCATGAGTAAATTGATATCTCGTATAGTTGATAACCATTGAAAACGTGATTATCAAAGATTAAACACAACAATTAAATTTTACGTGAAATATATCATTTAGAAAATGACTAATAAAATGAGCTAATTATTATCGATGACGCTGGAAAAATATGTCCTGATTCTCTCAAAGTGTTTTAATTATTTTTAATTAATTAATTTCCACTATTGGAATCTCCTAAAAATATTATCCTTGAGTTGGAAAAAATATATCGAATTAAAAAAAAATAGAAATTTTTAACAAATAACTAGTGTAACTTTTAATATTATATCAATAAATATTTATTTATGTCAATAATGATTATTTTACATATTATCTCAATTAAACGCAAGTTGCAAACCGCAAACTTGTTGCGTCAATTTTAAAAGTGACGCTTCAAGATCGACTAACGCAAGAAGCTTGCAATCAGTTTGTCACTAATGAATGAGCTTTATATAAATCGGATTTAACGCCGAGATATCATGTCGAGATATATAGTCAGCCTTACTCCTGTTATAGAGTAAAATCAACACCGTTATTCTACAATTTAATACATTTAATACATTTAATAAATACATGCAAATTATATTATTTTAATATATTTTTTAAAGCGTTTCAGTAATTTCACGTTTCACATTTCTTAAATTCATTTAATATAAGAGATATATATGTTAAATTTATTTTTATCAGGATTGGATAATTTAATGTTCTTTTTACACTAAATTTTTGAAGTTAATGATTTATTATTATAATATTAACCCATTAAGGTTTGTGTCTTAATCCTAACACAGTCGTGATAGCGCCAAACTAAATACGTGATTCATAGCATCAACGAAAAAAAATTACCCGTATTTTCTCATTTTGCTAAATTGATTGTTTAAAGAAATTGTTTAAATAAATGCTCATTTTTAAAAAATTAAAGTGCCGTTCGATTTTATGTTCACTATCACGGCTGTATTAGGCCTTAATGGGTTAATAAAATTATCTTAATAAGAGTTAACTTAAGATTGAATATATATATTATTATAACTTATGTTATAATAATTCAAAAAAAGTTAATTTAAAAAAATTAGTTTTGAGATCAGAATGTTCTAATTTCTTATTAACTTTTAATGTTGTAATTAGTTATTATCTAACCCTGATTCTTTTTATATATGAATGTTCACTACTTTACATAAAAATTATAACTAGCAGACTTTTTCACAAAAATACAAAAATTTTCCAACGATTAATTATTGTTACAGGGATGTAATGATAAATGGCTATATGGTGCCAGCCGGTACTAGCGTGATACCATTGTTGTATGCGGTGCATATGGATCCGGAACTCTGGGACAAGCCGGAAGACTTCCGGCCCAGTCGTTTCTTAGACGCCGAGGGTAAGGTGTATAAGCCGAATTTCTTTATGCCCTTCGGAGTCGGTAGACGAAAGTGCTTGGGCGACGTGTTGGCACGCATGGAGATTTTCCTGTTCTTTACTTCACTACTGCATAAATTTAACTTGCACGTGCCTGAAGGTGTCGCATTGCCCAGTCTACAGGGTAATAATGGCATAACGGTGTCACCGAAACCTTTTACTGTTTGTTTACTGAAAAGAGATCTGAACTTGATGGACTGTGACAACAATGAGATCTCTGTCAATGGACCTGTACGTAACGTTGGCAGTCATTAAGTGTTCTAAAAAAACAAACTTTAAAATGCGGGTACGGTACTTGTTCCTATTGCCGAAAGAGAGGCGAACAGAAAGAAGAGAATTTTCAAGTCACGTGCTGATACTTCATCCACTATGCGTGCCAAGATGGAGACCCATTTATAAGTATTTATTGTTTTGCAAATATTACTTTACTCCTATTCATTCTTGCTCTTCACCTTATGCGTATATACGCGTTTAATCTAGATCGGCAAAATTGACAGGATTCCGACGTGTCTCGGAAATTTCGACAGCAATTGTATCTAATTCTACCTTCTTTCTTTATTGTACTACATTGTGGCTCTCAACGGGATATCTCGCATGTGTGTTGATAATTACCGTTTCTTTCACAATATTAACAATTCCAAATGCAACTGATTTCATGCATAATAACTAAATAAAATACGCCAATCGTGACTCTCACCAGAGTGTCTCGTCGAGAGCTGTCACATAAACGACGTTAATAACTCCAAACGCGATCAAACTACATCGACCGCTCTCCCGAATATAATAATAATAATAATAATAATAATAATAATCTATTATATATTAAGTCAGAGAGAAAGATAGTAAGCAAGAGAAAGATAAAGAGAGAGAAAGACAGTATATTTTCGTATGTAAATATATGATAATTTCGATTGTCGCGTATGCGTTTGATGCATGTTGAATGATTTTAATATTACACGGAAAGAATTATATCTTAAAATTTACCCTGAAAATATAGTAATCGTGGGACAACTTATATTATATAATATTTCGAAGAATTTTTATGTAAATCTCTCACATTAATAAAACTACAATAAAATATAAAATAAGTATGATTAATTTTACTGAAGTGCATGGTAAAAATCTTTAAATTTATTGTATTGTACCATAATTATTATATTTTCAGGGTAAATTTTAAGAAATCCTTCTCTCCGTGTACATACATAACTGGTCGATGAATCACGTGCCGTTTGATGAAAATGCGAGACTGCCCTTGTACCCGAGACTACTCGTGCCAATATCGCGTTGACTTTTCTAATAATTTTTCTAACTGTGCAATAAGCTACTCCAGTGTCGGCTGATCCACGAATCGCTCGAGCAAAAACGGCCCAAGCCCGTGAGCAATTTTCGTGAAAGTCGTTGTGAGATCCGTTTTGAGATTTCGTTGCGACATCTGCCATTCGACGACCGCGCAACGCTGCGCGGTACGGTGAACGTTTGGAAATGATAGAATGAATATCGATCAGATTTATCGGTCGCTACACGACTCGGGTACGAGCGCGGACTGAGACTGTAAATCTAAGAAACCTGGATGTACGGCCGATGAATCATTGTGACGTCGTCTAATCCGAGATTTCCCAAAGATATCTCAGGCTGTGCATCCTAAAATCGGCGAGAAGTCACGCAATAACGGTTCTGATCTCGATCCTAAGATTAGAAGCTCGAGTCCAAAATGTGTACCCTTATTTATAAATTTAAGCGTACTCGACGACTGATGGACTCACTTCCACGGGGTAGATGCCGTGCGCGCAAAGCTCCCTTATTTAAGTATCCGATAGAGCATTAATTAGTATTACTTTAGCATGCATGAATTACAGAATGCCGTATTGTGTTCACTTGTCGACAGCGAAGAACATTTTATGTTTTTCTTTCTTTTGTATTTACTATTTGTAATAAAGATATCGTACAATTAAAATGATCGTTCGATTTATTCATCCCTACCACCACACACAATCACTAAAGATATTATTTTTATTAATAAGAATTCATTTTAAAAAATTTAATCAGAATTGACATTTATTTTGCGGATTTTGAAAAGATTTTATAAGCAGCTTTTTAAAAAATACAGCACAAAATAATGATTCTTTGATTTTATATTCTTTAAATTATAAAATAATGAACGTATTCAAGTATATCTTATTATTTTTGGCAACAAAATAACAGTATTATTTTAAATGCATAGAAATAACGCTAAAGATTTCGGTTAGAAATACCGCAAGGAAACGTCATTCGTAATGACGAACCGAATATTTATCAGCCGAATATTCCAAGAAATCGAATTCGTTATCGATTGTTATCGCGAAAAATTTCGTTTGAAACCGGATTCTTAAAGATGAGTAAAAAAAATTGTGGTTCTTCAGCTGCATGCATCAACCTTCGGCTTTGATCTCGCGCTCATCCCTTCCTGCCACTACTCAATACTTCGAGGACTCGGAACCTACGAAAGAGTATTAAATTGGGCCTAGCTTTCTCTTCCACTGATTCGTTCAGCCTCGCATTTGGTAAGACACTTTTCAATTCGTACAATCATTCGTAATCATGAATAAATCCAATCTCGCTAATTACTTTACTTTAACTGAGTACATATTAAAAAGAAAGCCGTAATTAGTGTTAAAAATTGAAATAAAAAACGTGCCGTGTTTTTTGCTGGAACATTTTTGTAATATTAATGATAATTATGAAACCTATTTAAATGTTAAATGTTAAACAATGAATTAAAGGGAACAAGATATTCCGTCATATATTTAGATATCAGTTGAGCGCTGTCTTTAAGATTTTTGTTAGCTATAATTAATGGTTTATTATAGCTTGAGCGTAATTGTCAATTAAAATCATTAAATCGATATTGTCACACAGAAAGTTTCGACAATTCTTGGAATTTTTGAACAAATGTTATAATTTGAAGAATAAGAAAAATTTGTAGATCTGTTAGGGTAATTATTTACTGCTTCTCTCTGTCAATAATCCCGTGTATTGTCTTGTACGAACGATATGTAAGATTCATGTGGCATTGCAGAACGAGAGACGTACACACTTGGCGCACGGTTACATAAGAGAAACTCGCGCGTTCTGGGTTTCTAACGAAATATCATCGCTGAGTACATTACGCTGAGTAAGGTTAATGACACGAGAGTCAAGTGGCCCCAAACCGTGTACAAGTTACGTAAGGTCAGCTCACGCCAGTACGTCCCAGGGACAGTGCATTGATAATGGCGTATTTCCTGCAATATCGTACTATATGAAAAAGCATTGGTGTCCCAGGTGTGCAACCGCGACACGTGGCGCTTGCTGCCCCAGTAAGGGCCCTTTTACTTCGCACTTCGGTATGTAACTTCGTGGCCTTTTCTCGCCGAAGAGTCGGTCGAGTACCAACTGGCCTGCCACAGTAAAGACAGAAAGTTTATGAAGAACCGTTGCTTCAAGGCTTGGCTCAATAAAGCAGGAAGAGGCGTTTTGTGGTTTATTTTCTTTTTTTTTAAGCACAAAGTTGAAAGTATGTTAGAGCAGAGTTTTTTATGACCCAGATCGTTTGGGTTTCTCTCGATAGAAGTTCGGCTATCGCAATATGATCTATCAAAAAGTTAACCGATCCATATAAGAACTAATTGACATTTTGTTTTGTTCATCAGTTTTATATAATACATCTTGTAAACTATACTACTTATACATTTACATTCGCTTCAAATTTCTAATGTATTAATTATTTACAATATTACTAAAATTATGTATAAAGGACTCTTGTTAATAAATAAATTTAAAAATGAATAAAGGGCATAAGAGTAAAAAATTAAAACTAATCTTATATGTCATGTTAAAAAAAAATTTTTTATTACGAAAATAAAATAGAAGATTGATTTTCTTAACAATATAATATGATATTGATATTAGAATTACATGTTTCGGCTTCTATATTGAGCCATCTTCAGATCTTCAACATCAAATACAATATTTTTTAGTAAAAATTATTAATTTATTTCCTTGTGTATCTTACCATCGATAGGAATAATGTCATTTACTTTACTGTACCCACGATAAAGATATAATTTATATTAGATTGATAAAAATAAACAAATTTATTAAAATTAATTGATTCTTTTATAGTGTTATTTTACGTATATTGTGTAATTTTATATTTAATGAGCGATTCGTGTTCACACTGCAATTCCGCAATAATACTTAAAATGCATAGAATATATTTTCGAGAAATAGGAAGAAACGATACATTTATCATCCATTTCGATTTCGGAATCTTGACCTTTTCTCTTCCTCTTATAGAGAAAATGTTAAAATTCTTAAAAGTAAGATAGTACACTGTAGCTAATATAAGATCAGAACTAATGTATATTATGTAAGTCAATATGGTACTTTATGTTGGATAGCCGTTAATCTGATGTTATGCTACATAATGCTTATTTTATACGTGCTATTATCCTTACAGCTTTCATTTTCTTTATTTTCTGCGATATTCTTGTGCGTCAAAGGAATAGATAGAAAACGTAATCAATTTCGATGTTTAGAGAATAATATAAGAAAATTTCTACCAATTTTTCGACAACAAAGAAATAGTTGAAGGAAACGCAGCCAATTTCGGCAGAAGGTGAACGGTGCGCTTGTAGTTCACCCAAGGCCACTACATTGTGAGATAAAAATGTATGTTGCATAACGCTGACGGAATTTCATGAATCCGATGCGAGAAAAAGAAGTGTGTGTGTGTGTGTGTGTGTGTGTGTGGGGGGGGGGGGGGGGGAGAGAGAGAGAGAGAGAGAGAGACGAAGAAAGAGCGAATTAAGCGAAGGGGCGGGCAGCGCGGTTTATGTAAAATCATCTCCTAATGCCCATGATCGTGATTGACATTTTAACGGGCCTGTGTCTTCGTATTGAGAACGTATGGTGGTAAAAATGTACCAATGCGTAAAATACGAGGTGCGTGCAAATAAGTGCCGCTCCATTTCCATAGGGTAAACATTTTTTTCGCTACTCACCTCACTCCGCGCGTTTTTAATAAAAAGCGTTCTTTTTAATATCGGCAGTCTGAAATATTTATCAATGTCGAAATTTAACTGCTGTGGTTCGCAATCACGCTATAAACCGGCACGCGGACACACATCTGACATCCTGCAGCGGTCGCTATACTGATCTCGTTAATATATTTTCTGAAACACATTTGTAAAATCAAAGCACTTTATTTCTTAACTTCATCCAGAGTATTTGACACA